ATATGTATGTGTGTCTACATAAAATAAAATTGTTTTACACCTTATATTCACAATATTATAGATGCTCAAGATCATCTCACTGTAAGTTCACAAGAGAGACTCTACTGTATATATGCACAGTTAGAGAGCAAACATTTCTGATCTTAAAAAATAACTTAAAAAGTCCTTCTTCGTCATGCACCTTAGATTAAATTTCTAAAGGTTCAAAATCATTGAACCAGGAAAGCCAGTATAAAACTTTGAGTTTACCTCGGTCTAATGTGTCCTTGTGCTGGTAATGTAAAGCAGGAAAATACCCCAGCTGGAAATAAAGAGTGACATTTTTATTTGTTTTGGAAACAGAGACACTCTCATTTCAACACACAACTTGATGGTGCGACATGGACTTCACCCCAAAGCATTCTCAGAAACATGAGCTCCAGTCCCTGCAGACCTAGACTTAACTCACCCTCCGTATTGCTCATGCTGTCACGCTGTGCTCTCCAGTCAGAGGCTGGCAGTGTTCTTAAATATTGTCATGGTTATAAGTGAAATCTGAAAATACTCTGTAGGATTGTTAGAAATGGACATTCCGCTTTCTGCTGTTTGTTCCTCCTCGCTCAGTCACGTTTCATCTTTTCGCTTGTCCCCCTGCTGCCAGCGGGCTGTTTGTTGCATTGTGATCCACGGCAGCTGTTGAGTGCGGCTCCAGGTGAACGTGTTCATTAAGCCTGTTACAACCTACAGTTACAGCTCTGCTCAGGCCAAAACATGCACACAGAAAAACCAAAAGGCTCATGGTGTCCTTCTGTCCATTCATACGTTTATCCCTCTATCTCTACACTCATCTTTCATTCCATTTTATCTGCCCTGCAGTGGATCTGTGAGCAGCTGGTCCTGTCATGTAATGTGCCTTACACCACCTGCTACCTTTCAGTAGGAGCAGCATGATGCCATGATCTTTTTTACTCCACTTCCCCTCTCCCTGATGGTCCTCTTAGCAGAAAATAGTTCTATCTGAGATGATGGCTTAGTTTCCCACTTCATAGTTTAACTGGAAAATGTTTACATAGTAATATGTCTTTTCACACGCTCACTAAGTTAAACAGTTTGGCATAACTTAATATAGGTCGTCATGCAAACATTTATTAATTACTGTATTTTTTGGACTATAAGGCACACTTAAAATCCTTTAATTTTCTTAAAAATCGACAGTGAGCCTTATAATCAGGTGCGCTTTATATATTAATTCTGGTTGTGCTTACCGACCTTGAACCAATTTTATGTGGTTATTGTGAACGAGTTGAATAAAGTTTGACTTATTTGACTGTTTTGTTTTGCTTAATGTGCCTTATATATGAAAACAGACCCATTCATTGATATTGCACCTTATAATCCGGTGCGCCTTATAGTCCAAAAAATACGGTAAACATTTACAGGTATTTACTCTTCTGAATCAGGAAGCGTTCACTAAATGAGTTACTTGCATGTAGAGCAGTGAAGGGACTTTAATTCTTACATTTGTGTGTAACCGTGTAGACATTTGTCTCTATTTTTAGGACGATCCACTGGGGAACCTGAACCTGGCTTTTGACATAGCTGAAAAACACCTGGACATTCCTAAAATGCTGGATGCAGAAGGTAATGTTCTTGGGTCAAAAAAACTCAATACGAAATTATTCAGTCATTTATTTTTGTTTGTTTTGATCATGGTACGTCAGATCAGGTAATAATGTTAATGTATAATCATAACTTTGTCATAACTCTATAGTGGTGTAGAACTCAAGTCATAACTAGAGAAATTGCATTTCCTGCGAAAATGCAGTGTGAATGCATATTGCAGAAGAACTTGCTGAAAAAACATCTGAAATTAGCTATAATGACATGCAGAAATGTAGCTGAAATGGAAGGACAAACCTAAATTAGCAAAAGAAAGCAGAAAGAACATGTTTGCTGAATTAGGTTTAAATAAGCAGAAATTAGTTTAAAAAATAGCTGAAAAGTCAGAAAGAACCATAAACTACCAGAAGGAAGGAGAAAGAGATGAAATGAGCTAAACAAATAGAATAAGCTGAACCCCCCCCCCCCCCCCCCCCTAAAATTAGCATAAAGCAGCTAAATACAGTGCCTTGCGAAAGTATTTGGCCCCCTTGAACTTTTCAACCTTTTGCCACATTTCAGGCTTCAAACATAAAGATATAAAATTTTAATTTTTTGTGAAGAATCAACAACAAGTGGGACACAATCGTGAAGTGGAATGAAATTTATTGGATGTGTCAAACTTTTTTAACAAATAAAAAACTGAAAAGTGGGGCGTGCAATATTATTCGGCCCCTTTACTTTCAGTGCAGCAAACTCACTCCAGAAGTTCAGTGAGGATCTATGAATGATCCAATGTTGTCCCAAATGACTGATGATGATAAATAGAATCCACCTGTGTGTAATCAAGTCTCCGTATAAATGCACCTGCTCTGTGATAGTCTCAAGGTTCTGTTCAAAGTGCAGAGAGCATCATGAAGACCAAGGAACACACCAGGCAGGTCCGAGATACTGTTGTGGAAAAGTTTAAAGCTGGATTTGGATAAAAAAAGATTTCCCAAGCTTTAAACATCCCAAGGAGCACTGTGCAAGCAATCATATTGAAATGGAAGGAGTATCAGACCACTGCAAATCTACCAAGGCCCGGCCGTCCCTCTAAACTTTCATCTCCAACAAGGAGAAGACTGATCAGAGATGCAGCCAAGAGGCTCATGATCACGCTGGATGAACTGCAGAGATCTACAGCTGAGGTGGGAGGGTCTGTCCATAGGACAACAATCAGTCGTACACTGCACAAATCTGGCCTTCATGGAAGAGTGGCAAGAAGAAAGCCATTTCTCAAAGATATCCATAAAAAGTGTTGTTTAAAGTTTGTCACAAGCACCTGGGAGACACACCAAACATGTGTAAGAAGGTGCTCTGGTTAGATGAAACCAAAATCGAACTATTTGGCCACAATGCAAAACGATATGTTTGGTGTAAAAGCAACACAGCTCATCACCCTGAACACACCATCCTCACTGTCAAACATGGTGGTGGCAGCATCATGGTTTGGGCCTGCTTTTCATCAGCAGGGACATGGAAGATGGTCAGAATTGATGGGAAGATGGATGGAGCCAAATACAGGACCATTCTGGAAGAAAACCTGTTTGAGTCTACAAGAGACCTGAGACTGGGACGGAGATTTATCTTTCAACAAGACAATGATCAAAACATAAAGCCAAATCTACAATGGAATGGGTCACAAATAAACGTATCCAGGTGTTGGAATGGCCAAGTCAAAGTCCAGACCTGAATCCAATCGAGAATCTGTGGAAAGAGCTGAAGACTGCTGTTCACAAACGCTCTCCATCCAACCTCACTGAGCTCGAGCTGTTTTGCAGGAAGAATGGGCAGAATTTCAGTCTCTCCATGTGCAAAACTGATCGAGACATACCCCAAGAGACTTGCAGCTGGAACTGCAGCAAAAGGCAGCGCTACAAAGTATTAACGCAAGGGGGCCGAATAATATTGCACGCCCCACTTTTCAGTTTTTTATTTGTTAAAAAAGTTTGACACATCCAATAAATTTCATTCCACTTCACGATTGTGTCCCACTTGTTGTTGATTCTTCACAAAAAATTAAAATTTTATATCTTTATGTTTGAAGCCTGAAATTTGGCAAAAGGTTTAAAAGTTCAGGGTGGGCCAAATACTTTCGCAAGGCACTGTAGTAGCTAAAATAGCAGAAAAAGCTAAAACTAGTTGAAATGAGCATAAGCTGAAAATAACATAGGTTAATTAGACTGAAAGTAACAGAAATTCACAAACAAAACTTGAATTAATCTGAAAACAGCTGAAATTAGCTAAAATATGCTAAAAAGGTAGCTGAAAAGAGAAGTAATTTAAATTTGTAGAAGAAAGCAGAAAGAACACAACAAGCCCAATTAGGCTGAAAGAAGCAGAAATGAGCACAAAAAGTAGAAATTATCTGAAAAAAGCTGAAATTAGGAAAAAGAAAAGCAGCTGAAAAAGCAGAAAGAAGATTAAACTGCCAGAATGAAATGGAGAGCACATTTTTGCTGAATTAGGCAAAAAATAAAAAGGCTGAAATTATTGCAAAAAAATGTGGAATTAGTTGAAAAAGCTAAAATTAGCATAAAAACAACTAAATAATAGCTGGAGTAGCGGAAAAAGCTGAAACTTGCTTAAATAAGCTGAAAGGAGCAGTAAAAGGTTGTGAACAGATCTAAAGATTTGAAGGATGTAAAATGAACTCAATTAATTTCCTATGAGGAAAAAAATGGCAGAAAAGGCTAAACATTTCAAAAAGCTAAAGTTGCACCAATACTAAAAGTCATAGCAGGATTGTCCTGAAAGAGCTGAACATTGTTTCTTTTTTCTTCAATTATCCATGTTTGTTATAGTTTCCTCTTGTTTCCCCTTTTCTGACACCTTAATTTCCTCTTTCCCTCGATGCCACAGATATCATCAACACCCCCAAGCCTGATGAGAGAGCCATTATGACCTATGTGTCGTGCTTTTACCACGCTTTTGCTGGAGCTGAGCAGGTACAGAGGACCGACTTATTCTCACCACCAATCTGTTCATTTTAAGTGATCTTTTTGCACAAATGTTCTCCGAGGACACTGCCGAGCGCAGAAATCTGTCGTCAGTCTGATTTGGACATGCCTTGGCAGTAAAAGTGCTGTGAAGAGAATAGATTTTGATGCATTCATAAGAAAAGATCAATGAGGGCATGACCTGTTGCCTTATTCTGCTTATTTAAATACATCCCTTGTGGACTCAGGCTGAGACGGCTGCCAACAGGATCTGCAAGGTGCTTGGAGTAAACCAAGAGAATGAGAAACTGATGGAGGAGTATGAGAGACTGGCCAGTGAGGTAAAGTTGTTTTAAAAAAACAGTTTTGTATTGAAATGTTTTAATAGTTTATGGATGGTGTCTTACCATCCATAAGAGCTCCAAAATAAAAGCACAAACATAAGGTGGTTTCTTTTTGCTTGCTGCTCAGAATCATCATTAATTCATCACACTCTTTTCCAAGAAGAAGTTTTCTTCCCTCTAAACTTCTTCCCACATCCTCGTTGTTTTTTCCAGCTGCTGGAGTGGATCCACCGCACCACTCCCTGGCTGGAGAACCGGACCCCAGAGAAGACCATGGCAGAGATGCAGCGGAAACTGGAGGACTTTAGAGACTACAGGCGAAAGCACAAACCCCCTAAAGTGCAGGAGAAGTGCCAGCTGGAGATTAACTTCAACACCCTGCAGACCAAGCTGCGCATCAGCAATCGGCCTGCTTTTATGCCCTCGGAGGGAAAGTTGGTTTCTGTGAGCTCAGATTCTCTTTTTTTTGGTCTCATTTTATTTATTCGTAAAAAAAAAAAAAGTTGTTTCACGTGAATCACTTTTACAACAACATAGAGCATTGGAGAGGCTCAGTAGAGATTTTGTACATTCTGTATGTGGGAATAATTATTCGTAGTTCATCCTTCAAAACATTTTACGAGTGCAAAGTGGACTCTTTCACTTTCATTGTGTTCCCAGGATATAGCCAGTGCCTGGCAGGGTCTGGATCAGGCAGAAAAAGGCTTCGAGGAGTGGCTCCTCACAGAGATCCGCAGGCTGGAGAGGCTGGACCATTTGGCCGAAAAATTTCGCCAAAAAGCCACCAATCATGAGAACTGGGCCAGCGGTTCGTTCTCGTTTTACTTCAGACTTTTTCAGCTGCATTCATCGTTGCTGTCCTGTACCCAGTGTTATGACTATAGGCCTGACTGTTTATGTGTTCATCTTGATTTATGAGGTCTTTGCTTATCTTCGTTCATCTCTAGTCCTTCCTCTTAGCCTGGTTCTCAGTGTTTCAGAGTTTATTTAGGCTTGCTCTAATGAGATGTAATTAAAAATATTAGTCTGCTCATTACAATAAACTGGTCATGGTTTGCAACAGAACATGCTCTGACTATGCCATGACTAAATAAGGCCAATGTTTCTTATCAAATATTTTATCTAATCTGGTCTTGTCTTTTGTGTGGTCTCAGGTAAAGAGCTAATCCTCTCCCAGAAGGACTATGAAACAGCCACTTTGACAGAAATCAGAGCATTGCTTCGAAAACACGAGGCCTTTGAGAGTGATTTGGCAGCCCACCAGGACAGAGTGGAGCAGATTGCTGCCATTGCACAGGAGCTCAAGTATGTACTCTATAGCAGATACTAGATCTATGCTTGTATGACATGTATGACATGACATGTATGACAAATGACTGTCATGGAGTATGGAAGTAAATATGTGTCGCTAGGATCTGAATAAAAAATGCCAGTGAAATTTTAATATTGCATGTTTGTATTTAATTTTTCAGTGATAAAAAATATTCAGAATACATTTTTAACATAAAAAAAATCATTGTCATTATTTCTATATGTTTGAAATTTCACGTTATTTTCACTTCAAGCTAAAAATTCACACTATTATTTCAAAGTGCTCACATTTTCAATAGTTGTTTTTCAGTTTAACTTTTCAGTGTTAAAAAAATTGGCACATAAAAAAAAATTCAACCATTCAAAATTCAAACGCAATACTTTTACTTTTTTTAGTATTTTTTTTTTTTGCGCATCAAGTTCGATACTACATAAACTATACTACAGTAAAAGGAAAACATTAAACTCATCGTTGAGTTAGCGTTAGCTTCCATGACCGTCTCGGAGATGCTGTTTTCCTTCTAAATCAGCACAAGTGGAACGTCACGTGACTAAGAAAGCAGATGTGGGAGTTGGACTCTGACATCCTTTGCTAATGTCTGTGACCTGAAGTAACCCTGCCTTTTTTTTACACTGTATTTTTAGACGCTGAATTTCAGACAGCGAAATTGAGCCTGTTGAATCTCAGGAGACTGAAAGTATTGCGTTTGCATTTTGAATGGTTGAATTTTTTTTTATGTGCCAAATTTTTTAACACCGAAAAGTTAAACTGAAAAACAGCTATTGAACGTGTGAGTACTTTGAAATAATAGTGTGAATTTTTAGCTTGAAGTGAAAATAACAAATTTAATTTCAAACATATAGAAATAATCACAATTAATTTTTTTTATATTAAAAATGTATTCTGAATGTATTTTAACACTGAAAAATTAAATACAAACATGCAGCATTAAAATTTCAGTGTCAATTTTAATTCAAATTCCAGCGACACATATTTACTTCCATAACGGAGACTCAAAAAGGGGAAGGACAATGCCAGAATCAGCTGATGGCGTCTTTCTTTCTGTTTCTGTTATTATTTTAATTGTGTCGTGGCTATATGTTCTGTATAACTTAGTGTTAATTGCCTGGATAAATGATGTATAAAAATCCACAAATGTGTACGCAACTGCTCAATGAAAATTCTGAAAAGTGGGGAAAGTCATTCGGAATAAAATAAATTGCAATTTAAATTTGAATTTAATTTAGGCATCTAAAATATAATTAGTTGGATTTCTTCCAATTTATATTCTAACTAATGTGCCTTAAAGTTATTCTTAGGTAATATTCCTTCACTGAGTTTTGTCTGGCAGCACGGTGGCACAGTTGGTAGAACTGCTGCCTCTTAATGAGAAGGCCATAGGATCAAATCCCGGTTGGGGAGAGTTTGCGTGTTCTCTTTGTGCATGTGTGGGCTTTCTCCAGTTACTCCAGTTTCCTCCCACAGACCAAAAACATACATGTTAGGCTGATTGGTAAGTAAATAGGTGTGAATGAGAGTGAATGGTTGTTTGTCTCTGTGTGTCCCTTTGATGGAATGGAGACTTGTCCAGGGTGTCCCCCGCCTCCCACACAGTGACCGCTGGATCCCCCACGACCCAAAAAGGAAGAAGCACATAAAGATAATGGATGGATGAGTTTTGTCTGATTGGGTTGGACTTCCAGCATGCTCAGATTTCCAATCAGCGGTCAACGGCAGACAGCTGCGTGTTGTTAACTGCACAGTCTGGGCTTGGCCGTCCACCATTTCCTGTTTCATACTTAACTGCCATTCTAAGGATGCAAGAAAATGGCTTGGCTCTCAAGAAAAATGGCTTCTTGGACAATTGTAAGGTAGGTTTGTGATGTGCTCTTTCTCCTCATTGGTTTTTACTTCAATTGATGACTTTATTCCAAAATTGTGACTGCTCTGTTCTTGTTTTAGCCAGTTTTTCCTGATTGCTCTGATAAGCTTGAACGCCTACTCTAGTCCTGCTAAAAAAGGTGATATTTCAACTTTTTTTAAAATTAATCAAATTTTGCTTTTTTGAATAGTTGTCAGTGTAACTCTACCATAATTGTATTTGTTCCTTAGGTTGGAACCAGTCTAATCTTGGTAGCAGTGACATGGAAGTTAACTCTGGTCTGCAAAGTGCTACATCTCAAGGCTTTAAGCCGACATCTTCTGTGTCATGGGTGATGGCAAGGCCCAAACAAATAGTCTTCCCTGTGCAACCTTCCAATACACAAAGCACTGCTGTCTTGTGGGCAACTAAGCCTCCCCCAATAATTCCTCCCCCTCCTTCCAGTCCAGAAGGTCTGGCTGTTTCAGTAGTTGAATCTACCAACCAAGTTCCACCTCCTCTTGATCCACCGTTCCCTCCTGTTTCATGGGTAACTCTTCCTCCCAGAAGGGTTATTCCTCCCAGTCCACAAAACCTTGCTATCCCTTGGGTAACTGACTCACCCAAAATTTTAACTGCTTCTCCTCCCAAACCAGAGTTGAAGCTTCCTGCTTCTCCATCCACCCAAAAACCTCCTGTCTCATGGATTGGCTATCCACCCAAAAAATTTTCTCCTTCCATTTCAAAAGAACCTGCTGTCCCACAGGTGGCTGCTCCTTTAAAAAAGCTTCCTGCTCTTCTGTCTAATCCATGGGTGGTTGATCTTCCTGAAAAAGTGTCGCCAGCTTCTCCCCCCAGTCCACCAGGCCCTGCGTTATCTTGGTTGGTCAGCACATACAATCCACAAGTCCATCCGTCAGTCGACCTAATCAATGAAGAGCCTACAGAGGGTTCGTCTGCCCACTCGGAGTCTAGTCATCAGTTCCCACATGCTTTTCATATAGAAGGACATGATGAAACTGAGAATTTGCACAGTGGGTTGCCACACCACACATACCCAGGACCCATGTTTCAGGGGGGCCAGATGAATAATTTTGCATCCCTGTTTGAACATGGGATTTCAGAAGGGGAAGCGGAAGATGATTTTGTTCCAGTGTACCCTTACGATGATGCTGAGCTGACGGATCCGTTCATCTCAATGGGTGGCATGCTGCCACCATCGGCGTACACGGGACCAGTTGCGCCCAACCTGTTCTACTACTTTTTAACTGGACAGCTTCCTCATGGTACGGTGTCCCACACCCAGATGGACTACGAGGCTGGTGGAGACCATAGGACTGACTTTGGTTATGAGGACGATCATCCCTCTGATAACCTCCCTCAAATTCAAGTTCCCACTGAACAGTTGTAGACTTTTTCTAGGTTTTACATGACTTGAAGCAACTGAGTGTAAAGGCAGCTGCATTTTACTTCGTTTGGCTTTAAAGTTGTTTATAAATCAATAAACTTAAATTTGCCATCTTTGTGTAATTTTTCTAAGTTTTTAAAGTCTATGAAGCAGATACTGTACATTTTCACAAATGCCTTATTTACCCTTTAATTTATACAGACTCTCATTCAGTCACTTACGAGAACATTTTCAAGAGACCTGTTTGGGAGCAGATGGTTGGGGTTAATTATTTTTAAATCACCCTCTTCTGCTAAAACAAGCTAGTGTGACGAGTTGGAGAATTAAAAATGTGCTCCTTCAAGTTTCAAAGATTTATTTTTTTTTTTTTTAAGTGAACTGGATTATCATGATGTTGCGTCTGTGAACCAGCGCTGCCAGAGCATCTGTGACTTGTGGGATAAGCTGGGAACTCTGACTCAAAAGAGAAGGGAGGCACTAGAGGTGAGATGATGGATTTCATGATTCTGTTGCATGTGAAGCCTGTTCCTGATGTTTTTCATTCCCAAAATCTTCACAAGAGGGTGCTAATGTTTCAGGGAAAACAAAAATTGCATCTGAAACAACTCCAAATTTTAAATTTCAGCATATTTTAGATGCAAATAACCAGAATTAAGACTTGTCTTTTGACAATACCCATTATAAAAGGGCGAAGTAAATAAGTGGAGGGGATAATGTGGAAATGTTTCAGCTCAAGAAGTGAACGGTTCAAAGCCTAGTAGTCACTTCCTGTCCATGCCGGTCATTCTAAATCTGCAAATGTGTGACGACCTGGGAAAAGTGCTAAGGATTAAGTCTGAACGACGGTGACACGTGCTCCACGTCGCACTCATGCCTGTGAGAAATGATTGTCAATAAAAACCCAGTCAGAATTTAGAGGGTAGAAACTAATATGGCAAAGACTGTCTCCTGTTATTCAGCAAAACTGGTTGGGGGGATGCAGAGATTACCAGACAGAGATAACTTGTGTAATGTTCCTCGTGCAATGCTTTGATGTTTACAAATTCATATTTTGTCTCGTATTCTCAGCGTACAGAAAAGTTGCTGGAGACTATTGATCAGTTGTTCCTGGAGTTTGCCAAAAGATCAGCTCCTTTCAACAACTGGATGGAAGGAGCCATGGAGGATCTGCAGGACATGTTCATCGTACATACCACTGAGGAGGTCCAGGTAACCATAAAGTACTCTCTGCATAGTGAGCTAGGAGGAACGTTTCTTAGAATAACTGATAATATCTAAGTGAGACTAAATGCAGTATTCTCTACCTTTTTCAGAGTCTAATTGCTGCTCATGAGCAGTTTAAAGCCACTCTGCCTGAGGCAGATTCAGAGAGGCAGGCCATTTTGGGAATCCACAATGAGGTGCAGAAAATCTCCCAGAGCTATGGGATTAAGCCCAACATGATCAACCCTTACAGCACCATCACAACAGAGGAGCTTCTCAACAAGTGGGAGAAGGTATCTTTGAAAACTCACACAAGAGCACACCATCTTTATATTAGATGACGTGCGTTTCTCTGTTTAAAATACAGTGATCAGAGGTATTTCTGCATATTAGACCGCACATATTACAGTAGAAAAGTGCATGAGTGCAGTCAGAATGATGGTGGAATATCTTCATTTTGCACTCAAAATATATTTGTTGTCAACATGTTAAAGCCATAATTTATGAAGTGCACAATCTATTTAAGGTGCGTTTCCTGTTTTCAGTTTAATTTGAGCATGAATCCATTGTTGCACATAAATATACTCTTGCCTCTTAACTAGATTAGATTCAGTCACCCTGGCTCAAAAGTGTTAATTATAAAGGGACAATCAGAGGGAGCAGTGCTTATTTTAAATGATATACTCCTATTTCTGTGTAACCTTTAACAGTTTATTTGACAAATAAAGCTTTTGGAACCCAATAAGAAGCTACGCAAATACATATTAAACCTGTTGAATTCCTTGTTTTAGGTGAAAATCAACATTTGGCAATACCATGTAACCTTTTTGTGCGTTTAGGTGAAGAAACTGGTTCCTCAGAGAGACGGTGCCCTCCAGGAGGAGATGTCTCGCCAGCATGCCCATGAAAGGTTGAGACGGCAGTTTGCTGCCCAGGCTAATCTCATTGGACCCTGGGCTCAGGCCAGGATGGAGGTTTGATTGTATTCAGCTTTTCATCTCTAACATTTAAACTGAGGGATAATTAATTTCAAACTTCATTATGGACAAGTGAGATACAGTGATGGAACCTTTTCATATTAGAAATTCAGCCAAGAAAATGTACTAAAAATTATTATATGTCTACAAGATGTCTTAAAATTCTGTTTAACCTGACCGAATATTCAGTTAGGTACAAGAAAATTTCTCCTTGCATAAAAGCATGAGATCTCCAAAGCGGCATGCCAAGATCTAAATTGGTCCTAAAATGAAGTTGACCCTGTTGCATGCGTTATCTTGACAGGAAATTGGGCGCTGCTCCCTGGAGATTGGAGGCACACTGGAAGACCAGATGACCCAGCTGAAACAAATTGAGCATGTCATTGTTGCTTACAAGCCCAACGTAGACAAGCTGGAGGGAGACCACCAGCTAATCCAAGAGTCGCTTGTTTTTGACAACAAACACACCAATTACACCATGGAGGTACAAGACAGTGGAAAATAAAAATATATGCACACCGAGCTGACATGAGGCTGTTTGCAACACTCATTTATGCACAAAATGAGTTCTATTTATGCATGTAAATATACGTGTGTGTGTGTGTGTGTGTATATATATATATATATTACACACACACACACACACACAAAAGATCTGTCTTATAAATGAGTCCCCGAGGCTCAACGAGACCAACCTGTATAAATAAAGGTTGAATGAGTATGCAGGTTTTATTCAGCCAGCTCTGATTTCTCTTCTGTCCGTTAACATGTTTGATCTTGCTTCACATCAACAGCACATCCGTGTCGGATGGGAGCTGCTCCTCACAACCATTGCCCGAACCATTAATGAGATCGAGACCCAGATCCTGACTCGGGATGCCAAGGGCATCAGCCAACAGCAGATGAATGAGTTCAGATCTTCTTTCAATCACTTTGACAGGGTACAGCCTAACTCACACGTTCACACTCCAGGGGTCTCTCTCTTGTTTTTGTCTTGATAAGCTGATTAGAAGCAGCGTTAACAGCTCAGCAGCAAGAAATGGGTTACTCCTGCGTTAATTAGGAGATATTCCTGTAGCAGAACGCAGCACCACTCAGGAGTTTTCTCTGAGGTTATTTGTGTGTGTTCTAAGTCTTAACCAGCTCCGGGAGCAATCCTGATGAAGAGACAAAGATTCAACATTTTCCACATGAACAGCTCAAATTATTGCAGTCAATTGGTTGTAAACACTAGCTGATATTGTGCTGTAAAGTTCTCAGGCAGGTTAAGATTTTCTGCATATCTAAAGTACATTTCACAGCCACTGCAACGCTGAATGCTGTTATTATTCCAGCTACGTTTGTCAGAGTGGCTGATGCAATAGACTAGATAATACAGCAAATATATATTTAAGTCTCTACTAAATTCATGCAAAATATTACCGATAAGTTTATTTGGCCTGTGTGCAAAACTACAATAGCTGTTATGTTTTGCAGATCATGCAATTTTACACCTTTGTCCAAAACAAAGTACCTTGAGTAGAAATCATTTGTCTTGTGTTACTTATTTAAACATATATTATTGCTGTGCATTTACAGTTAGTTAAATTTGATAGACACAATAAAATGCTGCATATTTCAGATTATGGTTAAATCTCAAACATCTGCTGCACAGATTGATGTTAAAGGGAAAGCATGTCACATCTTTGAGTTTAATCTTACTTTTTCCTGTTAACCTAAAATGTAATCCTTCTGGTTGTAGAAGAAGAACGGAGCAATGGAGACTGATGACTTCCGCGCTTGCCTCATCTCGATGGGCTACGACTTGGTACGATATTTCACATTTGAGTGGATGATCTGATCTTACTGTTGGGTCTTTTCTCACTCTCCGTTTCCACTTGTCTCAGGGAGAAGTGGAGTTTGCCCGTATAATGATGCTGGTGGACTCGAATGCGACTGGGCTTGTCTCCTTCCAGTCATTCATTGACTTCATGACGAGAGAGACCGCTGATACGGACACGGCTGAACAGGTTGTGGCTTCCTTCCGGATCTTGGCAGCTGATAAGGTAAATCTGAGTCGCTGTGGTTTGCTGGCACATGAGCAGATATTTTGAAGCCAATCACATCATTTACTCATTATTTCATATATTGTTGTTCTGATTTTTGTTTTTCTTACCACAGCCCTACATACTTGTGGATGAGCTCAGGAGAGAACTTCCCCCTGAACAAGCGGAGTATTGCATCTCCAGGATGCCTCCTTACAAAGGCCTCGGAGCGCCTCCAGGAGCGCTGGACTACACCGCCTTCTCCACCGCCCTCTACGGAGAGAGCGACCTTTAACTTGAAAAGAAAACCCCCTCAACATCTGGCTATTTTTACCCACCCACACTCTTCCTGCCCTGCACGCACCTCTTAATGAAATTAACTAAAATGCATTGTGGCTCCGATATGTTGAATTAAAAGCAAACTTTAAAAGTGAAGTCTGTCTGCAATCAATGTTACATATTGTCCTGATTTGTTTTCCTCATGTTAAGCAAAGTAAAATGTCCCAATTAAATAAAATATTTGGAGAAAGGTTTCAGATGTTTTGAAAGGAAATAAATCTACAAAGAAATATAAAATGGAGTTCAAATTTCTATTTGTCTGTGTCTCCAATTACAAACAGTACTCCTAGTTTTGTTTGCAATATTGTGCATCAGTTCCATGTTTTGTCACGGTGCTTTTGTTTTGGGAATAACATTTTCCAATAAGTTGCTTAAAGTGGATTACGGATTGCACAAACAATTTCAGGCCGACTGCCATCCATCAACAAACAGTTCGTTCCCAAAAGGCCAGAAGTACGCATTAACCGGAGAAGGGAATATGGGAAGCAGCATAAATGCAGGAGTAAATGTTTACAGTGGCTCGTTGCATAAAAGGCAGAAAACAGACGACTAAATATGCAAAATGGTTTGTTTGCAGCATTTGAATTTGGGCTTCTATAAACTGAAACGTTCTTTGGCTGCAACAAGTCCACTACTGCTTTTTAATGCTTGGAAATATACAATAATTGTCAAGGCAAATTAAAACAATGCAAATATAAGAGTATTGGCAGCAAAGAAACTGCTTTTGCATGTAAGTTTTTGCACAACTCATCTTTCAAGCTGGATTTCTTTTTTTATTTTTTTTATTTAATACACAGGATAAGTTGCATTATTTATGTTTGCGTCATATACAAGATTGGAGGGAAATAAAACAATCATACAGATGATTAATTTCTGTTAGGCCTGTCAGAGTGTTTACTCTGGTACTGTTTCCCTGGCACATGTCTATTTGATAACAGGTCATTCTGATTCATGATTAGAATCATAACTGGTTGTTTCAAATCCGTTTATTCATGTTGAAAATTTAAAAAAAGAAATTAAGTATTTAAATGAGACATAGATCTGACATAATTTTGTTGGTTGCTCAGCTGAAACTTTGTGAGACTGCATGCAAATGTAAAATCAGTTTGCGTTCCTGCTTTTCATTTGTGATTAATGCAAATGAGCTACAGGAAAGAAATGAGTAGATCGTTAATTTTTGTGACGATAATCTGCTCAAAGACTGAGCTCAAAGTCACAGATGTTGCTGGTAACTTCAATTTAAAACAAGGAATCCACTTTAAAAAAAAAACTTCCATTCACTGCGACTAAGAAGAGAAACTCAAACATTAATCTTAAGATCCTTTTCATTGAAACTCGATTAGTTATATTTTGGTAGGAAAAGTCTGATTCTCAGGATAATGCCTTCTGTTATTTGGCTCTTACCAAACAATTTGTTCAATTTGTACACTGAGCTAATAAATTAATTTAATAAAGCATCTGTGCCTAATAAACCATTTACTTCAGCCTGATCAATCATTGCTTGAGTACGTTTGTCTTTTGCAATTAAATTCTGTTTTATCTAAACCTTTAAATAAAAGCCTGTTTGTCAGATATCAAGCTTGGAACATGTTAAATTCGGTCAGTTGGTGTTTTATAACAAGCATCAACATGAAGACGACTCGTGTCATGGAAATTTAGAGTAATGAAGCTCTTTTTGGCTTGTCAGTGTCTTACTTGCCTAAAACCTAGTAAGTGATAGTATTTCTGCTCAGTAAAGATTGCACATTTGTAAAGATTGATGCTGAGAAATGCAGATGCCTTGCAAATCCTGCTGGAGTTACAAGGCTTTGAGATCTTACTGGCTAAGAATGCAAAACAAATGTCTTCCACGCTGGACAAAATGGCACGCTTTTTGACAAGCAGGTAAAATAGATGGAATGAACAAAGAATAAATACAATTGTTTATATTTTTTATTGTTTACAGGTGCATCTAAAACAATTTGAATATTGTGAATTTTTTTTTTTTTTTTTTTTTTTTTTTTTGTCAATTCAGAAAGTTTAACTCTTATTACATGAATTCATTACACATAAGAGTGAAATATAAAACCAACGGTTCAGGAGTTGTTTTGACCTGAGGAATGCAACATTTGCAAGAAATAAAAACCTGGATGACCCTAATTTTTTTGCTTTTAAATTCAGACAAGACTGAGGTTTTGGTTTTTGGACCTGAGCATTTAAGGAATTAATTTTTCAGTCTTTCTTCCTCCTTCGATGACATTAATCTGTCCTCCAGCTCTAATGTTAAAAATCTTGGTGTTATTTTTGATCAGGACATGTCTTTTATCCCCCACATTAAAAACGTTACTAGAACCGCTTTCTTCCACCTGCGTAACATCACTAAAATTAGAAACATCTTATCTAAAAATGATGTAATCATCAAAATGAGCAGAAATAAAAGCTTGAAATATGTGTACGAAATCTATATACTATTTGAGTTTCACTTTCTGAAGTGTTTGATGAAAAATATTGAATTTTTTCACGATTTTCTCATTTTTTTGAGATGTACCTGTATTTCTGGGTTTGAAAGGTAACAAATAAAATATTGGCATAATTTAAGAATTCCTTACCAACGGTCTCTCTTGGGAGCAGGATTGAGGTTTGCTAATGTCAACCTTTGGCTTTTTCTGTGGAAGTAAAACTTTGCTGCAGTGGACTGACAGCAAACGTCATAGAACTACAAATGAATGTGAATTATTGGGAGTGGGGGAGTAGATTTAGCAGTTTTTCTGTCAAAAATGTAACTTTTATTCTGGTAATATGATAACTTCATTTCATCTGTGTGCTGGACATATTTTATCGTAACATTTTTGTCACTTTTAGAAGCAAAAACATGGTCTTACACTTATGCTTATCACCCACCGCCTTTGTGCAATTTAGCTCTCGGAGTATGTGTAGGGAATGACTCTCAGCTACTGTATCAAATTTTAACTCAATATCTGGAAAAATGTCTTGTGCAAAGTTGTTTTTGAAATAACTAAGGCCAATAGGCTGAATCAGACTCACTCCAGAATTTAACCAGTAAGGAAAAGTTGGATTCATAACCCACTCTTAATCTAATTTACTTCAGAACAATTCAGTTTTGTGAATTTGTAATAAATTGCCATTGAAAAAACAAAGAGTAGCTAAGGAAAGAAAGGGTCAGACTGAGTGAGATTCAGTCCCCCCTCCTAAGAAATACAGGAGGCATCAGATGATTCTGAAAAGGAGACATTTTTTTCTTGGAAATAGATTTGGCCATAGCGTCTGAAGGGTAAGAGGACAGGAAGAAACACAATGAAGTCCTGTTGTTTGTAGGGTGCTCTATTGCTTTCTACAGATGCCACCAGAACCCATTAAATACTGTATGTATCTGAGAACTTTTGGGACAAGATGGACCACTTAGACTCATTTATTGTGTTTTTTGACCCAATTCTAATTAGTTTTTGCATGGCCCTCTGACGTCTTGATGATGCAGGAAGCTTAGAGGGAACGTAGTTAAAATGCTGTGATTTGGGAGAAAGTGGCAAAGTATCAACTCTGAATGCAAGAATGTAGGTATTCCCTGAAGATTACTACACAATATGAACAGTTACCATAGTTGCCAGTGGTTACAAAGATGTGGCTGATGTTGGTATGCTCATTTTGGTGCAGCCAGTACTGATTTTTGGTATGGGTGATATGGCTATGGCTATATTCAGGGTGGTATTTTATTGTGACAACAGTTAGCTGCTCACAGCACACATTTATTTAATCTGCTAGGATTCCTAAGAGGATAGTCCAAGTCTTGCTTATCCTCATTTCAGAAGTATACGCCATAGATTCAGTCATCTATTATCAAGGAGCTGCCAAGGTGGATAAGAGTGGGTACAAAGCAGGATGAGGCAAGTTCAAAGTAAGCCGAGGTGACAGAGTCAGTTTTCAGACCCATTTCATGCTGCAAAAGTTTGATGGAGGTACAAGTTGGCTCAGATCCTACCAAGACCGTTGCGCACTTCCTTTGTATTGTGTTTGAGACAATTCTTACACATAAGTAATTAAACAATAACATCTGAATTGATTTTCAGACCTTCAGATTTTCTCTCAGAGCTGAGAGTGGTGCCCCTTCAAAATAAAATTCATAACGAATTTTTAATCATTATTAACCCTTCCCGCTACACTTAGTGTCTACCAACATTTACTGGCTTTTATAGCAACTGGAAAATGTGCTTAAATATTGCACATAGTTGCTTTAACTACAACGTTATCCCAATAAACCCATTCATCACGTTGAAATGGACACTATATTTCAAACTAATGTTTATGTACTTTGATCCATCAATACTTTCTTTATTTCCAAAAGACAAGTTGCTTTTAATAAAGTTAAAATAATGTTGAAGGTTTAAATGATGGACCAATGGATTATTTTAATTTAGGTTTAATGTTTCATTCGAGCAGAAAACGAGTATTGGGACAGACTCCGCCCTTTAAGTAACAGTCCTGTACCTTCTTCTCTCCTTCTTCTCCAAATCTTTTCGGTCTCCTCGGTGTCAACAACTGGTTCCCGTCCAATGTGTCCTGCTGGTTTGAAATGATGACTGACGCAGGAGAGGGTGACGATGAAGGCCAGTTTCTACGAACGGTAAGTCAGAAGTCTTACAGATTCAATGGAAGTGCAAACATTGATTGCAGTTTGATCTAGATGTTGGTTTGTGAAGGTTTTTTTGTGTGTTATAGAAGAAAAAGCAATTACTCAATACAGAGGTTGGACTAAAATCTGTGTCTATTTGTTAAGCTTTATCTTCTTTACAAGACTCGCACAACTTTGTGTTACAACCACAGTTACGTCCATAGTTGAAGTTCAGGGGTAACATGCTGTTCTAAGGCTGTCATATAAAAGTTTCACTTTTCTTTTTATTAAAAGGAAGTTTGAAATAATTAGCCTAACTTCAAGTTCAGACGAAAGTCAAATAAACATATGAATGATTAAATAAATGCTACACTGCAGATCTCAGCAGGCTGCCTATTCTATCACTTTTTTCAATTTACTGACAGAGGGGGGAAAAAACTAAGAAAAACTTCAGATCATTTTTATTCTTCTTCAGCTCAAAGCGCCTATCATTGTTAAAAGTTGTCCGACAGCTTGCAATCTTTACCGTTTGTTCGGGGTCATGTTTGGGATAGAAATGAAATAAAAACGCATCATGAAGAATGGATGAAGATTAAGGTCATTTTGTGGAACAAAGCCATGCTAATCGTTTCTTTATTTTTTAATTGAATAAAATAGCACAGGTGTGCGCTGCTTGGCACTTGTCTCGTTAACGATTTAGTTTAACGATGTTTGAAGAAACACAATTTAATAACCAAACCAGTTACACATTAGAGTCTATATTTATATCACAGTCAGTCTATATTTGAGGCAAGGTGGCCAACTTTATTTGTAAAGAAACACCAAGGAGCCCCAAACTATATTGACAGAAAAGTCAGAGCTTTGTAATAAAATGTCCAATTTTCACTTTCCCCCCCACGTTTGGATTAAATCTTGCAGCATAGTAATTTTTACTACCTGCCAGATATACTGCAGGAGAGCGCAGCCCCTCACGGCCTCAGCACAGGGTGGTGTGTTTGACTGATTGCAGAGTCTTGCTGATATGAGGAGTGGAAAGAAGAGGTCAGATAGTGCAGGACTCTCCCAATATGGAGGTTCGGATGGAGGATATGGAGAGGTGTTGGTATTCCTGGTAATCTGTTATCCTTTTCTGTGGTTCTGTAAATAGCCAGAGTTTGACTGGTCTGACATGCTCTTTGTGTCACTGAAATGGACATAAGATAATTGGTAAATGGCAAAAATCTACTGTACATGTAGTTTGAATGGGATATTATTTCCTGTTCTTATAACACTGTGATAGGTTCTATAACCAACATACATCGCCATGACTGCAATACGCTACAGCATATTTTAAAACATTATTATTTTTATCTTGGAATGTTTGACTAACATTAAACAAAGAACATAAAATCAAATTGTGTAGCTGCTGTATATGTGAGGACTTATTGTTTGAATGCTGATTTTGTGTTCTTGTTTTTTATTTGTTTTTATGATTTTTGAAATTGAACTTCTTATGCATGAGTTGTGCCAATAAGCCAATAATATATCACAAAGCAAAGTAAATCAGCTATAGTCTATATTGAGTTTTCTTATGTTCATACCTGAATTTAGCTATTTTTAGCTTTCAGCTAAAATTCTACTACTTTTGCCTTTTAGCTAGCCATTCTCTGTAGGTTTTAGCCATTCTTTTGCTACTGTTAAACTCTAGGTAGTGCTTTGCTACTTGCAGTTTGCTAAACTATTGATGCTTTTAGCTAGCGTTTAACCATTTGCATTTACTCTAGTGTTCTGCAATGATTAACTTTTAGCTAACCTTCTGAAACTTTAAGCTAACTTTTACTATATTTAGCTTTTAGTCTTTTGCAATTTTTAGCTCGTTTGTAAATTTTAGCAACAAATTTGCTTTCAGCTAAATGCTAATTAGCTAGAATTTTGCTTCTTTTAGTTAATGTTTTCTCTTTTTATCTAGAGTTCGGCATCTTTTAGCTTCAACAACTTAGTTTCAGCTTCTTCAGCGGTCAGCATTGTCACAAGAAAATGCATTTCCTTTAGCTTACTGTTGTCATCTTTGTGTGCGTCTTTCTCAGGGAGATGAGGTGATTTTGCAGAGCACCTTCACCTCCCAAGATGAACATTTGAAGCTGTGTCTTGCAGCCGAAGGATTTGGTAGCAGGCTTTGCAGGCTTGAACCCACTTCCAACTGCAAGGTAAAGAGCTCCACCTCAGAGACTGTTCCAGAAGGCTTGGTTTGTCAGCTTTCACAACACAGAGCTGGTGACAATTCCTGGAATACTTTGCAATTCTGTGTATTTAGCGCAATAATATCCACCTTATTCATAGGCCCCATGCCTTTCACAAATTATGGGAGCGACTTCCAGCATAGCCCAGAACCGGCATTTGTTTATGTGCGAACAGTACTAATGTAGTTTCTCCAAGCATTGTGGCTTTTCTTTAAAAATGTGGGAACACCACGACCAGAGCTCAAACAGAACAATATAATCATTCCGCTGCTTGCTGCCGATGAGGGATGGGAGGACGACCTGAAGAAGTGGCTGCAGATTATATACACTAGCAGATTTAGCTATTTCAGTGACTCGGTTCCTTTCAACGGTGAAGTGATGAAAAACACGAAAAGCTCTGAAGCGTATTACTGTAGTACACAGTAATAAGTTTGGTTGCATTTAAAAAAAAAAAAAAAGAGGTGGGACACAATCTTATTTATCTTAAGCAGACATAGAGCCCAGCCAAACCCTTAAAGTCCTCCATCACCGAGCTTGGGTTATCCATCCATCCATCCATTTTCTTTACCCGCTTATTCCATTTTGGGTCACGGGGGTCGCCGGTGCCCATGTCCAGCAATCACTGTGCGAGGGGCGGGGTACACCCTGGACGGGTCGCAAGTCCATCACAGGGCCACATAGAGACAAACGAGACAAACAAACATTCACTCTCTCACTCACACCTAGGGACAATTTAGAGTTACCAATCAGCCTAACATGCATGTTTTTGGACTGTGGGAGGAAACCGGAGTACCCGGAGAAAACCCACGCATGCACGGAGAGAACATGCAAACTCCACCCAGAAAGGCCCCTGGACCAGGGTTTGAACCAGGGACCTGCTCGCTGAGAGGCAGCAGCTCTACCAGTTGCGCCACCGTGCTGCCTGAGCTTGGGTTAATTGCAGAGAAAATAGTAATATAGAAGACATGCTGTGCCCTTCACATCCTATCTTCATGGCCTTTCCCCCTTTTCTATATAAAAAGTATTCTGAAAAAGGATACGAGGCCGCGCTCTCAGGAGCAGCAGCAACGTGCACTCCACCCATCTTTCGGACGACTACGAACATAATCTCACTGTTGATAACAAAGCTTATTCTGATTCTAATGAGACGTCTCAGCAAAAAAAAAAAAAACAATTGTCCAGATGAACTGAGTGAACATTGTTGGATTTTATACCGGGATTACTGAGCATGAACCATGACATACCTGATATTCTTGCCACACTCTTTTGTTGTTTTGTGTCCGTGTTCAAAACACTGTTGTTGTAGCCACTGATTCGGTTTGGTCTGGTTGTTTGTGCAGCCGTGAACAGCACAATAGGTGCCTGATAATCATTTATTTGGAGCCCAATAAGGTGGATATTACAGACAAATTAAACTAAGTTATGCTCATGGGCAACAAGTTATTTTATAGTCCCAAACTGTTTATGTCTCTTTACGTTCCATTTTATGAAAAAAAAAAACAAGTATTTGTTCTTACTTTTATATTTACCAGTTTGTGTCAGTTTTTGAAAGCCCAATGAACGGGACACATGCACCTGTCTCAATGATACAAATCGCTGTCCGTTTTGTTTTGTGTCAGAATGTTCCACCAGACTTGTTTGTGTGTTGCTTCGTCCTGGCCCATTGCCTCTCAGTCCGAGCCCTGCAGGAGATGCTGGCCCACAGCGAACGACTGGCAGCAGAGGTGCGAGTCTGTTCACTTCTCGTCACTCCTGCTGCACATTAATGAACGTGTTTGTTGGTTTGTGCACCTTTTGTCATTTGTGTGGCAGAATTAATTTATAAAATAAAGACAACTTAAAAAAACTAATGTGTGTTATGGTAGTTGTCTGTGTGTTTGTTGGTCTGTCTGTTAGCAAAATATCTCATGAACCAGAAAATGAAAGTCTCAAAAAGTAATCATTAGATGCACATTTACAACTGATTAACCATGAGTCAACCTTATTAAAGATGGCTGTTGCAATTAATCAACGTTAGCCAAAAAAAGTGGCTGTAACTCCATCAGTTCTGCAGATGTTAAGCTCAATGTTGGTGTGGTAGTAGCTGAACATTGTCCCTAACACACAGTCAGAGGGCTAACAGCTCGTGCAAGATCTTTGTGTAAAACTTTGACATGTGACATATTCCTAGAAGGAATGTGTAATATCATTTTGTTTATTGTGATAACTTCATCAGATGAGCAATCTGACAATCTAAAATTTTCCAGATCTGGTCCTTGGGACTCACCGTCCTACATGTGTGAGATGTTTCCCTGTTCCGTCAGGTCAGATTCAGATGACTGGATTATCTCCTGAGCAAGTTATAAAGTTGAGCACTAGCCTGCTCAGCTGTTGATTGAAATCAGGTGTGTGAACGCAGGGAAACATCTAAAACATGACAGTTTCTCCCAATGACTGGAATATAAGATTTTTTGTTTCTACTTCTTGCTATTTGTCACAGTTTGAATTGACATTTTCAAAAAAAAAAAAAAAAGTTTTTTCAGATTGACTTTATGTATTTTGCAGGTGGAAGCAGGAGTTAGCCATCGCACTCTCCTTTATGGCCAGGCGGTGTTGTTCCGACACTCATTTAGCAACATGGTGACTTATTTTTAATTCCGTCAATAATGTTATACCAATGCATTTGTTCTTTTATTTTTTCTAAAATAAACAGTATATTTTCTTTCAGTATCTCAGCTGCTTGTCTTCATCTCAGTCTTTGCCTGACAAACTGGCTTTTGATGTTGGTCTGAGAAAGGATAAAGCAGGTTTTTACATTTTTCCTTGAAATTTGCTTTTGTTATTTTCTTGTTTATATGATACTAGTAAAAAAATAAAGTCTGTCTTTTTTTGTGCTCCTCACTGTCAATGAGCAGCTTTAGTTTGAAAGTTTCCTCTCATTTAAATTCTGCTTGCGGCTCAGGAGAAACATGTTGGTGGACAATCCATCCAGCATCCAGACAGAGGTCAGATGGTGAGAAGGTACGAGTTGGAGATGACCTCATACTGGTCAGTGTGTCATCTGAGAGATATCTGGTGAGTCAGAGGAAAAACAGTTTATTTTCCTGGCAAAAATAAAGTTAAACCAATAAAATTCAGAAAATTACATTTGTTAAAATTCAAATGTAGAGAAAGTGCTGAGTGCCTGGTGAAGTTTGATAAAGAAGCAGAATACTGGTCAAAACTAAAAGAAGCAAAATGCTAACAACAAGCTAAACGTGGCAAAGTGCTAATTAAAATGGGAAAGTAGCAAAACCTAGTGTTTAGTTAAATGGTGCAAAACATTAGCTTATGTCTAAAAATAGCAACAAAAAAAAACTAAAAGTAGCTAAAAGCTACGTAAGAGCTTTTTCTTTTGCCTAAAGTTTAAAGAAGCAAAAATCTATCTAAAAATTAAAAGGAGCAAAACAGTGGCTAAAATCTAAAAGTAACTAAATCCAGTGTTCAGATAAAACGAATAAAAGACTAGCTAAAAGTATCAAAAGGCCATGGAACCTAAAAGTAGAAAAAATGCAGCTAAAAGCTTAAAAAAGCAAAAGGCTAAATAAAAGCTAAAATTAGGAGGCTAAAAGTTAGAAGTTGTCAGATGTTAGCTAAAATTTCAAAGTAGCAAAATGAAAGTGAAAAGCTAAAACTAGCACAATTGTAGCTAATAGCTAAAAGTAGCAAAAGGCTAGTAAAAAGTAACAAATAGTTAACAAGGGGAGTGGTGGTTAAAGGTTAAAGAAGGCAAGCCTGTGATCTGAAGGTTGCCATTTCGACTCCTCAGACTGACAACAGCAAAATGTGGGTGCGAAAGGTGAAGCACACACACCTGCCTCCACCCTCCTTCCCTTGAGCAAAGCCCTTAACCTCCACATCTGGGCACCCTGGAGGACATCTTTCTGCTCCACACAGAGTGCTGTGGTAGCTCAGTGGTTTGTGGTTGCATCAAGAAGGGCATCTGGCATAAAAATAATTGCCAAGTTTTTGTTTCATGCTCATGAGTTTGCTGTGGCTACCCCTTACGAAGGGAGCAGACGAAAGAGGAACCCCCCCCCCCCCCAAAAAAAAAAAAAAACAACAACTGTTAAATGATAGCAAAATAGGAGCTAAAGACCAAACATTAGAAGCTGCTATGCTAATGCAAATTTAAGAAAACTAAAAAAAAAAAAAAAAAGTTTTTGAAGGAATTGAAGTAATCTCCGCATATTTCTACACAAAATATTTAAGAAAGTTCAGTGTTTTTTTTTATTTAATTTTTTTAAAGTTATAAATGTCAAAACATAAAGTAGCATTCTAATTTTTTTTAAAATATAGTTTTGGTCACAATATTATACCAAATATGAAAAGTGTTAAACAAAATGATAAAATCAAACATTGAAGTTAGTAACTTTTATGCATTGTATCTTAATTTTACTTCTCCTTTACTGTCTAAGATTCTTTCTCCATCATGAACTGCAACTGGTTTAATTTCTCATGATTTCATGCAGAAGTTGGCGGCCTAAACGCTGTCTCCCACTGATGAGTTGTTTGGCATGATTGTGCATGATAATAGCTATTGTGGTGGAGGGGTGTGGGGGGGGAGTCAGAAGCTGTTTTTACCCTTGATGAGCTCATTTGTCTTACTTTCATTCTCTTTTTCCCCCAGCATCTGTCCTTTGGCACTATGTCTGACAAAAGCTTGAGCGACAGTCTGATTGTCAGCGCCGCCTTCCAGCAGACTCTGTGGAGTGTTGCTCCCATCTGCTCTGGAGGTGCAGTGGCTCAAGGCGAGTCTTCTTTCTTGTTGCTCTTCACGCATGTAGATAAGCAAGTCATTTATCTTTTACCTCATTCATATATGATGTACAGTAGTCCCTCGTTTATCGTGGGGTTTCGTACTCTGCCCCCCGGATAAGTGAAAAACCATGAAGTTGGGATGTAGTAGTCTAATTTCAAGTTAAAGTTTAAGTACTGTAAACTTTTTTGTCATTACCATCTCATGTGGTACATGATATGGAACAAAATTATGTAGCTATACAAGTAGTAGTAGTAGTAGTAGTAGTAGTAGTAGTAGTAGTAGTAGTAGTAGTAGTACGAACGCAGCCTCTTCATGCAGAGGAACACTTTTTAATCCAAATCGTTTTTTAAATTTGTCAAATCATCCCTTGCTGGCACTAACTGCAGTTGGTTTGGTTGTTGAACCAGGTGGTCGAAAGGTCCAGCTTCAGGTTTGACTGTACAGTCCACAATCATGTGTAAAGAAATAAAAAAAATTTTGTGTGTGCAAAATTCTGGACGTACACAAACTGCGATAGAGCGAGTCCGCGAAAGTCGAACCGTGAAGTAGCGAGGGACTACTGTAATAGAAGTATGCAGTATTCAGATTATTGAGCCAAACTGTTTCTGCTGACTCTCTACTTCCTCTAAGGAATAAGAAGTAACATTGGACCACTAATATCATGACTATTATGGAAATATAGATGGTCACAGAATATGATAACGTTTATCAGATACTGCAAAGTATGGTGTAAAAATGCAATAGCGCCCCCTACGGTCACAATATATGGTAGTCACAGAATATGGTGTAACACCGGATCCGCCACGGATGTTACATCACATGGGTTTGGGTTTTATTTTGATAGTCGACTTCCGCTTTTTGGCAAGGAATTTGCATATTAACTAAATATTTAGCTCAGATCTAAATATTTAACTTGCAAGTTAAATATTTAGGTCCGAGCTAAATGTTTAATTAGCAAATTAGTTTTGGAAATTAAATGTTTAGCTAGAAAAATAAATATTTGGTTCTGAGCTATTAGTAAATTAAATATTTAGTGTAGGTACAAGCGTAGCCCCCAGGGCATGTCCGTGCAAAGCTCATTTTTTACGATCACATACGCGGTGACACACAATAAACTGCCCAGTGACGGACTGTTTTGTATGCGACACCAGTGTATTAAATTCCCCTTCTTCATCCCTGATCTGGCTTTTCTTTTGTTTTTTTGCTAAGAGGCAAGTGATCTCTTCCTCCTTTGTTGACTCCATGACTGAAATGGTGAGAAATTAAGGAATTTGTCACAAGCAAATTAAACTCAGGTCCAGCATGGCTGTGGGAGAGTCTGGAGACTTCCTGGTGGGCTGGTGGGCTTTTTAATTTTTTTTAGATTTTTCTTTTTAACAACATATAAACACAGAACACCGCTGCGGCTGAGGCTGCCAGCGCTCGTTTTTTTGTGTGTTTTTTTTCCCGACCTGTCAATCAATCCAGTAGGCGTTTCAGCAAATGACCAGTCAGCGACCTCAATTTGTCCCGAAGGTAAACACTCCTTGCCTGTAAAACTGACTGCAGCTACTCAGGGTGTACGCTCGAGTATGAAGTTTGAACCCTCTGCGTACAGTACATGCGTACGTACGCGTGAACGGACGTACACAGGAGTATACTGGGGGCTTAACCCTCAGCACTGGCTCTCCTCAGGGATGTGTGTTGAGCCCTCTCCTGTTTACTCTGCTCACATATGATTGTGCAGCTACCCATCCAGGCTGTCACATTGTAAAGTTTGCAGATGATAGATGGGGTGCATCACAAACAGTGATGAGTCCAGCTACAGGCAGGAGGTGGAACACCTGGAGAGCTGGTGCAAAGAGAATAATCTTCATATCAATGTGAAGAAGACAAAGGAGGTGATTGTGGACTTCAGATGGAACAAACACACCTACACCCTCCTGAACATAAGAGGATCTGCGGTGGAAGTGGTCTCCAGCTACAAGTACTTGGGTGTACACATGAATGGCAACCTCAGCTGGAGCAACAACACTTCCAGCCTGATCAAGAAAGCTCATCAGAGACTCTACTTCCTCAGGCAGCTGAGACGAGCTGGTCTGGGAAGCTCAGTCCTCACCTCCTTCTATAGGTGTGCAGTGGAGAACATCCTGTGCTCCAGCATCAACGTGTGTCATGGAGGCTGCACAGCTGCAGAAAGAAAAGCTTTGCAGAGAGTGGTGAAGGCTGCACAGAAGACTGTTGGAGTCAGTCTCCCCACCATCACAAACATCTACACCTCCAGATGTAGGAAGAGAGCCACCTGCATCATGAAGGACTCCATTCACCCAGCACACACACTTGTTGCCCTGCTCCCCTCAGGAAGGAGGTTGAGGAGCATTAAGTGTAGAACCACTAGACTGAGGAATAGCTTCTACCCTGAGGCTGTTAGACTCATGAATCTCTAACCAGAATAATCACTGTGAAAAATCACATCATGTTTCTCCTGATCTGTTTCATGTTGAGGTGTTCATGCGTGCTCATCTGCTCACACAGACTCATGCTCATGTTTGTGCTGCTGTTCGACGTAATGTTTTTATGCTATTAGTGCTTAGTGTATTTGTAGTTGATGTTTTTCTTACTTCATATCTTAGATGTTATCATTGTTTTTCTTTTACATTTTATTGTTGGATGTAACTGGGACCCTGTGTTCATAATTTCATTCCACCACTTGTACCACATGTGGTGCGAATGACAATAAAGAATCTCTGACTCTGACAGTGTAACTTTACAAACAGCACCACATACATATTCACGGATGTTTAAAGTTGGGAATATTTGTGTTTGACAGGCCACAGTCAGGAACGTGTCTTTTACATTTTCCCATTTTGGCTTTATACTTTAAGCCACTGTTGTGTTTAAAAGCTGAACTGTGACTTGCACTGCATTTGTCCCCGTACGCATGAATCCTTACTGAGATTCAAGTTTTTGTTCCTCGCTGACAGCTGAGGGACGCTGGGTCTGAATAGCTTAGACCTCTTTCAACTTTTAAAAACCGTGTGACATCACTTGCCAAAACAATGACTTTTATTTTGAGATTTTATATTAAAAAATATAACAAATCCAGAATTGTGTTTTTTCTAAAGCAGTTGAGGACATTCTTTGGGGGTAATTTTGTACAATATTGTGACAGAAATTGCTCTCACACTTCAAACATATCTCCTTGTTTCTGTAAAAAATAAAAAAGGATACCACGGCATAATACATAATATTAGCCACTAAGTGAACAGCATCTGCGAGCTATACATTTATTTTTTTAAAGTTTTAGACAAATAGCTAAAAATGTACCTTCTATAAATGCTAAATGACCATGCTTTACATTGAGATTAGATTGCAGCAGCTCAACCGGAAATGCCTGGCTGAATAAATAATGCCGATACGGTCACCCTGCGTGGAGATTCTCCCATATTTGAAGAAGTGGCTCTAAATGTCATTCACTTAGTGATTTCTCTGAGAAAGACCCTTTCATGCTTGTTTAGTTTATTTGGAAATACTTGAATCCAAATTAAATTAATTTATTTTTATATAATAATTGAGACCATGTGCTCTAAAAAGCAAGTTTAGAGCGTGTGCACACAGCAAAGCATCTGAACAGTTTGAGAGGAAAATAAACATTAGAAGGCTCTTAATATACAAACGTTGGCAAATCCCCCAGAAAATACTTTTTTTTATACTGCCATTAATAGGAAGTTATACTGAATAACATTCATTAAATAATGATTAATTTTAATCAGTATACTACAATGTGAGCAATTTTAGCATAAAATTATGGGGTGCCGTTTGTAAAGTTGCACAGTCAAAAATTAACATCAGTATTTTGGTTTATCTAGCTGTTAATAAGAAAAAAAAAATATTTCTTCAAAGTCATATTTTCACCATGTTATTCATGCATTTATAAATGTCATAGTTCCCAACTAAATATTTAATTTACAAGACAAATATTTAGCTTACAAACTAAATACTTAACTTGCAAGTTAAATATTTAGTTTGTACACTAAAATTTTAGGTGTAAATTAAATATTTAATTTAGGTGTAAATTAAATATTTAATTTATACTTAAATATTTACTTAGTAAACTAAATATTTTGGAATAAATTAAATATTTAATTTACATCTATATATTTAGTTTACTAACTAAATGTTTAATTTCTAAGCTAAACATGTAATTACTAAACTAAATATTTAATTTGATTACTAAATATTTAGCTCGGACCTAAATCAGAATCAGAATCAGAATAAACTTTATTGGAATTTCACCGAGGTGTAACGCGAATATGTGCGTACAGTCGTCCGAAAGATGGGCAGAGTGCACGAAGCTGCAACTGTAGAAAGCGCGGCCTTTTTATCCTTATCAGATGATAATCTTAGATAGGAAAAGGGGGAGAAACATGAGGGTAGATAGTGGTATTACAAAAAAGATCTTTCACATCTTGTCCATCAGGACACGATTTGAGACATCAAAAAAACTCTACCAGCAAGCACAATTAAAACATGATTACATTTGCACTTGACATCGAGGTGTTGAGATTTGTCCATGAGCGTTTTTTCAGATCATCCACAGTTTCTGAAGATGTTGTTCCAGCCAGCAGTTCTGATAAGCTTGCACAGAAAGTTCGAGGGGGGGGGGGGGGGGGGGGTGGATAGATGAAGCTTTTGTCCTTGGGTACTCATGTCCCAGGAGAAATTTGATAGTCGGCCTGTCTCCGAGGCCGTCGGGGAGTCAGATTCAGATAAGCTTGATTCTTGTTTTTCTTCAGGCAGACAGATTACTTTTTTCCAGCCTTGAGTCCATCTGGGCGTTCTGGTTCCGAAAATGCCTAATTGTGGGATTACATTCCACTGATCCATGCTATGAGTCTCCTTCAAGGTCAAACCCACCACGCTGACGAGTCCCAGAAGCCGCAGGTGGTCTGCGATTCTCAAAAATCGCCTCCACCTTACGGTTAAGCTCGTAAACCAGACGATTTAAAGTTCCCACAGCGTGGACCAGACCTTCATACTGACTCGGAAGCTTTTCCATGGCCGAAACTGCTGCCGCCGTCTTCTTCAAAAGTCGATAAAACAGAGCCCCGCCAATGCCAAAAAGCAGAGTCCCTGCTATCATACTTCCAAATATGTAAACGTCTTCAACATCCTCTTGAGACAGAACTGAGAGGCACATCAATTGCCACACTCCCCACGAATCCATGACGTACCCCACAGCGTGAGTCTCAGCTGGACACGCCGGTTCCCCAGGACCTTGTCGCTTTGAGGAAAAAATCTTATCAATAGAGTTGAACGCCCACGATACCAAATCCATAATCTTCTTAATTTATGTTCGGGAGATGTGAACCATGCGCTTCAGACACACGGAGAGCAGAGCAGGAAGAAGGAAAAATGGGGAAGGAAAAAACAGAAGCAGCCACCTCGATGACAGCCTGGGAGGAAAAAATAAAAATTTAACAAGCAAGTTAAATATTTAGCTAGCAAGTTAAATATTTAGCTAGCAAATTAAATATTTAGCTAACAAGGTAAATACTTAAATAGCAATTTAAATATTTAAGTCTGAGGTAAATATTTAGTTAGCCAATTAAATATTTTATTTTGGAAATTAAATGTTTAGTTTGTAAAATATATATTTAGGTCCAAGCCAAATATTTAGTTAGCAGATTAAATATTTAGTTTAGGAATGAAATGTTTAGCTTAGAAATCAAATATTTAGTTAGTAAACTCAATATTTATGTGTAAATTAAATAATGAATTCATACCAAAATATTTAATTTACTATCTAAATATTTAACTTGCAAGTTAAGAATTTACTTTTTATACTAAATATTTATCTTGTAAATTAAATATTTATTAGAGAACTATGACATTTATAAATGTATGAATAATGTGGTGAAAATATGACTGAAAAAACAAACAAACTTTTTTCTTATTAAAAGCAACATAAACCAAAATATGGATGTTAATTTTTGACTGTGCAACTTTACAAACGGCACCCCATATAAAATGAGGTAATCTGAATATTACAGAAGCATTGTTGTAGCATACATAGACGCATTGTGTTTTTTTGTACAAGGAGCCACCATTTTATTTTGGATGTTTAAGTGTCATTTAAAGACATCACAATAATTTTAAGATGTAATAAAACTATATTTTAATGTGTGTTGTTCCTATTCTAGGATACCTAAGAGGAGGTGAAACACTCAAGCTTCTCCACAGCCACAGTAACGCTTGTCTGACTATTCCTGCAGCAGAGCAGGGAGAGGAGCTCCAAAGGTCCGTTAAAAAGACTCGTCTGCAACATAAACCTTTTTTTTACCTCTCTGACTAGGCCTCTTTTTGTAATCTAGAGTAATTCAGTATGAGATGGGATCAGTCTCGAGCCATGCTCGCTCCCTTTGGAGGATGGAAATTCTGCGTGTTGCGTAAGTGCTGAGATGATCTGATAAGTCACTTAATAATCATAAGAATTTTTATTTATTTATGATTTTTGCTTTTTCTGATAGTTATTAGGTTTTAAAGGGAACTTGTGTCGTGCCATACTGGTCAGAACCTTAATGTTCTTTATATTTATTAGGTGGAATGGAAGGCACACATGTTGGAGCGAGCCTTTCAGACTGCGTCATGTGACTACTGGGCGCTATCTGGGGCTTACAGAAGAAAAAGGTCTGCATCTGGTTGATCGGGAAAAGGCTGACATCAACACAACCTCCTTTTGCTTCCGATCTTCAAAGGTCAGGAATGTTAGAAGACAAACAATAGAGTTTAAAGTCGGTCCATCACTTCATAACATGAAAATTTCTGTAGTCAAGAGACTCGAAAGCAATTATTTATTACAAATAATTTACAGCAGAAGTTTATTTCAATACACGGCATATTAAAAAAAATATATTTTTTACTAATAATATCATTAATTAATGCACTATAACTGTTTCTTTGCCTGCAGGAGAAGCTTGACCCTAATAAAAAGGCTTTTACTGATGACATGGGAATCCCAGAGATCAAGTATGGAGACTCGGTTTGTTATATTCAACATGTAGACTCTGGGCTCTGGCTAACTTATCAAGCTGCTGATGCCAAGTGCCATTTAGGAGTTGCTCAGAGAAAAGTAACCAATAACATCTGTACAATCCTTATTTTACTTTTACACCCTGGTTGCCAAGCTACAGTAAATTATGTCAAATTATGTGTTTTCAGGCCATTTTGCACAGTGAGGGTCACATGGACGATGGACTGACACTGTCTCGCTCTCACAGAGAAGAAGCTCACACTGCTCGACTCATCCGGAGCACAGTCTCTCTGTTCACTCGCTTTTTAAGGTATATTTAAAGGTTTTATCAAGACAGTGTGAAGACTGTGAACTAACTGACAGAAACAAGTTAAACTAGACAAATTGCATTTCCGGTGAAAATGTAGTGTGAATGCTTATTGCAGAAGAACTTGCTGAAAAACAGCTGAAATTAGCTTAAAAAACATGCTGAAAATTAGCTGAAATAGAAGAACAATGCTATGTTAGTAGAAGAAAGCAGAAACAGCATTGCTGAATTAGGTTCAAATAAACAGAATTGAGCATAAAAATTGGGAAATTGGCTAAAAAAAAAAGCTTAAATTAACCAAAAGTAGCTGAAAAGGTTTGAAGAAGCTTAAACGACCAGACGGATGCAGAAAGAGCTGAAATGATCCCAGTAAATGTACAATTAGCTGAAAAAGATTAAATTAGTATAAAAACAGCTAAATAATAGCTGAAATAGCAGAAAAAGATGAAAGTAGCAGAAATAAGTTGAAAGGAGCATAACAAGCTGACATTAGCAGAAAACACTTAATTAGGCTGAAAGTAGCAGAAATTACCACCAAATTCTTGAATTTATCTGAAAACAAATTAAATTAGCTAAAAAATGCTAAAAAAATGTAGCTGAACAGGTAGAACAAGCTTAAATTAGCAGAAGAAAGCACAAAGACCATGTTTGCCCAGTTAGCCTGCAAAAAGCAGAAATGAACACAAAAAAGTGAAAATTATCTGAAAAAAGCTGAAATTAGCAAAAAACATACGAAAAACAGCTAAAAAAAAAAAAAGCAGAAATAAGCTTAAATTATCAGAAGGAATGGGGAGCACACATTTTTGTTAAATTAGGCTGAAAAGGACACGGTGTGAGAGATCTTTTCTTTTAATACCGTCTCTCCTCATGTTTTCTTTCCTTTTCTTATCTAAGCAAAATATTATTCTGAATAAGAATAAGAAGGCCGCGCTGATTATTTATAGCCGCAGCTTCGTGCACTCCGCCCATCTTCGGACGACTGTACGTACATTTTCGCGTTGTATCTCGGTGCAATGCCAATAAAGTTTATTCTGATTCTGATTCTGATCTGATTCTGAAAAAAGTTGAAATGAGTGCAAAAAATGTGGAATTGGCCGAAAAAGCTAAAATTAGCATAAAACAGCTAAATAGTAGCTGAAATAGCAGAAAAAGCCAGAACTTACATAAATGAGCTGAAAAAAAACAACTGAAATTAGCTGAAAGTAGCAGGGGGAAAAAAGTACAAATTTGCACAAGGAAGCTGAAAGAAGCTGAACCAGAACAAAATGTGAAAGGAGCAGTAAAAGATTGTAAACACATCTAAAGATTTGAAAGATAAAAAAATGAGCTCAATTCATTTTCTATTAGAAAAAAAGTGGCAGAAAAAGCTAAATATCTCAAAAAACTAAAGTTGCACCAATACCAAAAGTCATATCAGGATGGTCCTGAAAGAGTTGAAGGTTTTTATATATTACTTCTTGAAATAGCACAAAAATTCTGGAACAAGAAAGTTACTGAAAAACATATGGAAGAGAAATGAATCTCAATAGAGTGAATGCTTCCAAAACATTCACACTATTACAAAATGAAGATGGTCTTTTACAGCTTTGTTTCTCTCACAATTTGTGACCTACTGTGGTATAGAATCGTAAACCTTTAACCTCAGCACTGGAAGAAAAATCTAAAAGAGGTAAAACTAGTTTTAGTTCTCTTGTTTTGCTTTGGTAAATACTTGGGAAAAAATAAGGGCACACTTTATTTTCTTTGCACAAAATTTGACATTTTCAAGGTTTTATGCTTTAATAAAATACAATTAAAAACCTTTTGTTCTTGGGCATTGATTCAACATTTGGAAAACAATTCATAACAAAATCTGGCTTACTATAATGTACACAGTCGAGTTTAATAAAAGCAACCACATTTTTTTATTTATTTATTAGAAAATTTGATGGTTTCAGTCAAGAAGGAAGCAGCCCGCCAATAAACACCATGACCTGTAGTCTCCAAGATCTTATCAAATATTTCCACCCTCCACTGGAGGGCCACGGTCATGAAGCCAATCACAAAATGATGACTGCACTAAAGAAACGGCAGAACATGTTCCAGGAGGAGGTAAATATACCAATTATGAAAGGTGTTATATGGTTTATTAAGCACACTGAACGTCCTTTTCTTCTCAGGGTGTAATAGATTTGGTCCTGGATTGCATCGACCATCTACATCAATACAGTGGGGCTTCTCGTTTTGCTGAGGCTGCTCAGGAAGGATGGGAGGTCGTCATTACCCATTTCTATGAGCTATTAGGTGAAAAATAAATAAACGTTTCCTGCTAGCTGCCAAGCAGATTCAGTTTACCCTTTAGGTTTCTATCAATCTGTGAATTTGTAACTAAAATATCTAACTTTTTTTTAGCTGCTCTGATCCGAGGGAACCGTGTGAACTGTGCACATTTCTCAAGTTCTGTGGACTGGCTCATTAGCAGGCTGGACCGGCTGGAGGCCTCCTCTGGTTGGTTAAATTTGTGAACATTTTATTTACAGTAAAACTTCTACAAATGAACTGATGTCAGAGCTGAAAAATTCAGCCTCAGTATTTGTACGGCGTACACTGTCATTTTCTACACATATTTAGAATCAAAATGTTTCTGTCTATAAGTAACAAGTATTTGCATTTCCAGGTGTTTTGGAAGTTCTTCACTGTGTTCTGGTGGAAAGTCCTGAAGCACTAAATGCCATCAAGGAGGGACATATTCAGACCATTATCTCATTTTTAGAGAAGCATGGACACAATCACAAGGTAGAACTAGAGAAATTGCATGTGAGAATGCAGTGTGAATACTTTTTGCGAAGAACTTGCTGAAAAAAAACAACTGAACTCAGCTAACAATATGTTGAAATATAGCTAAAATAGAACAAGCCTAAATTAGCAGAAGAAAGCAGAAAGAACACATATTTGCTAAAATATTTAAATAAGCAGAAACTAACATAAATTTAGAAAATCAACTAAAAAAAAGCTAAAGTTAGCAAAAAAATTGCTGAAAAGAAGCTGAAAAGGCATAAAGAAGCATAAGCTACCAGAAGAAAACAGAAAGAGCTGAAATGAGCTAAAAATGTGGAATTAGCTGAAAAAGCTAAAATTAGCATAAACAGCTAAATAGTTAGCTGAAATAGTAGAAAAAGCTGAAACTTGCAGACATCAGCTGAAAATTTTCAGGTCTCCTGTAAATGAGTCCCCGAGGCTCAAAGGGATTAACCTGTACAAATAAAAGTTGAATGAATGAAAAAAATAGTTGAAAGAAGTTAGAAGAAGCACACAAATGTTTTAGTTAGCAGAAAGAACCTGAAAGTAGCACAACCACCCCCCAGCTGAAATGAACTGAAAGTAGCTGAAAAAAGGTTTAAATTTGCACAAGGAAGCTGAAAGAAGCTGAATCAGACCAAAATGTGAAAGGAGCAGTAAAAGGTTGTAAACACATTTAAAGATATGAAGGATGTAAAATGAGCTCAAATAATTTTCTATGAGAAAAAAGTGATGGAAAAGTCTAAATATTTCAAAAAGCTAAAGTTGCACCAATACCAAAAGTCATAGCACCCTTCCCCTGAACATTTTTGATTTATGATTTGTTGAAATAGCACAAAAATTGTGTAACGAGAAAGATGCCGATAAACGTACGGAAGAAAAATTGTGGATGCTTGAAAAACTTTCACACGCTAAGATTTATTCAAACACATAATCCAATAAATGAGCAGTTATTATCATGTTTAACTATTAAAATTTGTTGCAAACGACATAACTTTTGTTATCTTGTTTTAAAAAAGGAGATGGGGAGCAGTTACAGGATTATTGGTGATGCGTGAACCGCCATTAATCTCTTGTGTTTGAGCTGTTGCTGCTGCATGAAGTGCTGACGGGGTTTGTTCCAGGTGCTGGAGGTGCTGAGCTCTCTGTGTGTGTGCCATGGTGTGGCAGTGCGCTCCAATCAGAACCTCATCTGTGACAGCTTGCTACCAGACAGAGATTTACTACTTCAGACACGTCTGATTAATCAGGTCACCAGGTACTTTGAAATGTTTTCTCCAAATCATAATTCTTTTATTTGTCTCACTCATCCTTCTGGCTTTTTCTGTTAAGCAGTACTTTGTCGAAGTTCTCTGCGTTTTGACTTTTCTAGCTATTTAAGTTGTTCATGACGCACCAAAATTAAACCCAAAACTTAAAGAAATAATTACATATGTCAAAACAGGCAGGGTTTTATCTTTCATTTCCTCTACTGTCAGAGAACCCCTCATTAGTGTCTGTCCTTTTGTGGGTTTTCCTCAGATTCCTCTTAGTCTCATCTTTTATCCTTTTTCATTTCAATTCATTAATTTTTCATACATTGACGCTTCCTTGTTGATGCTCCACTTGTTTTTGTGTAAAAACATCAGTGATACAAATTTGATGTCAGAGCACGTCAAGTTTCCCTTTTTCAGTGAGGCTGTAAAGAAGTGCTCGCTGCCCGAGGTCGTTTAAATCATCACCGTTAATTTTGGGACACGTTTTAATCATTTTCATCAGATCTCACATACGTCTTCTCCCTCTCTTTGTATTTGTGAAAGCTATGCCAGTCTGATCTTGAAGGCACGTTGGATTTTTTTACTCTCTTTGAGCTCATGTGGTGGTATTTTTTTTCCAATTTGCCCTTTTCTCTAGAAGCAGCTGGATCCTTTTATCATAGTTTTCTCTGCCTGCAGGCCTTCTGTTACTCAGAGCTTATATCTGTCTGTTTAATAATGTTTGCACCTGATCAATCTACTCCCCAGCTTTGCTCTTCCTGTAGACATTTCTTGTTTTATTGCTTTTTCTTCTTTAAAAACTAAATGTCATTATAAGATGTAATTTAGTTGTATATTATACAACCATCCATTTTCTTCCGCTTATCCTGGGTCGGGCAGCCAGAGTAACAGCCTAAGTAGGGAGCCAGACTTCCCTCTCCCCAGCCACTTGGGCCAGCTCCTCCGGGGGAATCCCAAAGCATTCCCAGGCCAGCCGAGGAACATAGTCCCTCCAGCGTGTCCTGGGTCTTCCTCTGGGTCTCCTCCCAGTGGGACGTGTCCGGAACTCCTCACCAGGGAGGCGTCCAGGAGGCATCCTAAGCAGATGCCCGAGCCACCTCAACTGGCTCCTCTCGATGTGGAGAAACAGCAGCTCTACTCCGAGTCCCTCCCGGATGATCGAGCTTCTTATCCTATCTCTAAGGGAGAGCCCAGACACCCTGCGGAGAAAACTCATTTTGGCCGCTTGTATCGGAGATCTCGTTCTTTCAGTCACAACCCAAAGCTCATGACCATAGATGAGGGTAGGAACATAGACTGATTGGTGAATTGAGAGCTTCGCTTTTTGACTCAGCTCTCTCTTCACCACGACAGATTGATACAGCACCTGCTTCACTGCAGACACTGCACCTATCCGCCTATCGATCTCTCCATTTTTCCCTCATTTGTGAACAAGACCCCGAGATACTTAAACTCCTCCACTTGGGGCAGGACCTCCTCCCTGGCCCGGAGAAGGCACTCTACCCTTTTCCGGCTCAAGACCATGGCCTCGGATTTGGAGGCACTGATCCTCATCCCGGTCGCTTCACACTCAGCTGCGAACCGCTCCAGCGAAAGCTGTAGATCACGACCTGATGAAGCCAACAGGACCACATCATCTGCAAAAAGCAGAGACACGATCCTAAGGCTGCCAAGACGGATCCCCTCAACATCTTGGCTGCACCTAGAAATCCTGTCCATAAAAGTTATGAACAGAATCGGTGACAAAGGGCAACCTCGGCGGAGTCTAACTCTCACCAGGAACGAGCCCGACTTACTGCCGGAAATGCGGACCAAGCTCTGACACCGGTCATACAGGGACCTAACAGCCCGTATCAAAAGGCCTGGTACCCCATACTCCTGGAGTTCTCCCCACAGGGTTCCCTGAGGGACACGGTCGAATACCTTCACCAAGTCCACAAAGCACATGTAGACTGTTGGGCAAACTCCCACGCACCCTCCAGGACCCTGCTGAGGATCTATGAGTTGTAAATTATAATCCCTTTTTTGTTTTCCTTTATTTTCCCCTTCTTGCCAAACACGTTTTGACAGTTCAGTCATATGATTGATATTTTGTAAATTACATCAAATAAATCCATTTTTAAATATAAATTGTGTCAAAAATTGTTATGGTTGTAGATTTTTTCCAAGTCAAAACAATGAGTTCTGTTATAATTTAGAAATATATGTGAGAAAAATTAAATATTTCATAGAAAAGTCAGTCTGCTGACAATCACAGCACAAAATGTATGTTTGTTGTTTGTTGTTGTTGTCTGATCAGTGAACCTGATCTCAGCATGGAAGAAGCATTCTGAGCCAACAGTTTTCAATGTAAGGGTCGGGATGCCACAAACACTATAGGATCCTGAAAAAATGTCTAAGAATAAAAAACAAACTTACGTAAACATTTTTCTACCATACTTTCCACAATAGTTATTACAAAAGATAACAACAATAGTCATACAAATCAGTTAAATCTATTTGTTTTGTCGTAGTCCCTTTTGTCTTCTTTTTTTTTTTAGTTTTTTTAACCATATTGGGCGTTGCAAGTCTTTGACATTGTTATATTGGAGGTAAGATGTTATAAAGTTTGTGAACCCCTGCTGTAGGATGCCTACACTTGCTTTTGTTTCCCTGTTGTTGAAGTTGTAATAATAAATGCTGTTTTATTAATTTCACAATATGCTGTATTTATGTTTATAACAGAGCTGTCCTTCTGTTTTTCTTGTATTTCCTGCATGTTTTCTTTGAAAGTTGTGCACATGTGTTTTATGTAGAAAGCAAAGTTCCATGTTCCCTCTAGTTAGCATGACTCAGAGTTAAAGATTACATCAGGGTCCATATTAAACAAGCATTCTGGTGCTGTTTCTTAGACTTTGTAATAAGTTTGGTGTCAACTTTAGATTTTGATGTTTGGTTGCAACACCCTGCAAGGTTTCATTTTTCAAAAGTATCTTTTAGGTTTGATCAAAGTTCTCTTATTCTTTTAAGTGGGGCTGTGTGAAGTTCTTGCGAGTTGTCTTTTTGTCATAGGGTTTACTGGTAGCTCCCTGAGTTTGGAGAAGCGACAAAGGCATTTTCAGAGCTTTTCAGAGTGTGGCTTTTAAGACTTCTAACATTTACAGACTGCCTCAATGTACCGAGGTCTATGTTGCAACATTGCTGTTACACAGACCACAGACTGCGTTGCAACAGACTTCCTGTGGTTGAGGAAAATGACACTGTAGTCAACATCTAAGGCAAAGGTAGCAGTACAATTATCCACAAGTAAGGCTTTTCTCAAACCAATTAAAAAATGTTAAGTTTAAGTTGTATGAGATGACAGAATATTGTTTTTCTGTTGAACCTGTTTTTTATTATTTTTTCATTTTTTGGACAAATGTCGGAGTCAGAGATTCTTTATTTGTCATTCGCACCACATGAAATTGTGTACACAGGGTCCCAGTTACATCCAACAATAAAATGTAAAAGAAAAACAGTAATAAGATCTAAGATATGAACTAAGAAAAACATCAACTAAAAATACGCTAAGCACTAATAGCATAAAAACAATACGCTGAACAGCGGCATGAACATGAGTCTGTGTGAGCAGATGAGCACGAATGAACACAGCAACATGAAACAGACCAGCAGCAACATGAAACAGACCAGCAGCAACATGAAACAGACCAGCAGCAACATGAAACAGACCAGCAGCAACATGAAACAGACCAGCAGCAACATGA